TGAAGTTGCAGATCCAGTCAGAGCCCATTAACTATTAGTGACGGCCCGCTGACAGTGGTGAGTTTCAGAGACCCCTGCACATTCTAGAGATAGTAGCAAATGGTTGTGCAGCCTAGGAAAGTAGTAAATATTTATTCAATGACTGTCAGCAACAAAGTGATTTTCTTGTTTAGTGGGCAGCGAGGCAAGGGGCAGAAACCTTATGAAGCTATTGTAAACCAGTTTCAGCTTCAGCTACTTTTATTTCTCTCCATTTAAAGTTGGGTACAGTGGCATGTGCCTGTAGTCCCAGTTACTCAGGAGCCTGAGTTGGGAGGCCCACTTGAGCCCAGGATTTGCAGGCTACTGTGTATTATGATGGCCCTGTAAATAGCCACTGTACCGCAGCCTGGGCAACATAATGAGACCCTGTCTCTTAAAAAAAGTAAATAGAAGACTGAGGCTGCACCAGTGACATGGGTGGGGTCAGCAACCTAGAACTCTTTCTGGCCTGCTTTGGAGAGCAGGATTCTGTGAGTTTGAGGTCAGTGACTGGGAATGCCCTGGAGTTGTCATCTATATCTTCCTTCCATCACCCCCAACCTGTGCAATAAAACAAAATCAACTCCAAGATTTACCATATTTTAGTAGTAAATATCAAACAAGCAAAATGAGGGCCTAAAATACCCCATTAAAATAGAAATTGCTGTAGTTGATACTCATGCTGCTACTGTAATCAGAAAGAAAAAAACGTGCTGGTGAAATGTACTCATTAGATGTGAGCATGTATAGGGCCTTGACATTCTACCTCCAGCTAACTTTGCGTCATCTTTTTCTGCCTTTCTCGTATGCTCTGTGCGTCCTTGTTTCATGCTTTTATCCATGCTCGGCTCTGCCTAGTGTGCTCATTTTATCCACCCAAACTCTACATATAATTTTAGTATCCATCTCTTTGGGGTTTTTTTAGTTAGTTTTTGTTGTTTTTTTTTTGAGACAGAGTCTTGCTCTGTTGCCCAGGCTGGAGTGCAATGGCACAATCTCAGCTCACTGCAACCTCTGCCTCCTGAGTTCAAGTAATTCTCCTGCCTCAGCCTCCCAAGTAGCTGAGATTACAGGCCTGTGCCACCATGCCCGGCTAATTTTTTTTTTTTTTTTTGAGACGGAGTTTCGCTCTCATTACCCAGGCTGGAGTGCAATGGCGCGATCTCGGCTCACCGCAACCTCCGCCTCCTGGGTTGAGGCAATTCTCTTATGAGTAGCTAGGATTACAGGCATGCACCACCATGCCCAGCTAATTTTTTTGTATTTTTAGTAGAGACAGCGTTTTGCCATGTTGGCTGGGCTTGTCTCTTAACTCCTGACCTCAGGTGATCTACCTGCCTCGGCCTCCCAAAGTACTTGAGCCACCATGCCTGGCCTTAGTTTTTGTTTTTTTCTTTTTTTTGAGACAGAGTCTTGCTCTTGTCGCCCAGATTGGAGTGCAGTGATGAGATCTCAGCTCACTGCAACCTCCGCCTCCCAGGTTCAAGTGATTCTCCTGCCTCAGCCTCCTAAGTAGCTGGGATTACAGGCGCCCACCACCACGCCCAGCTAATTGTTTGTATTTAAGTAGAGACGGGGGTTTATCCATGTTTGTCAGGCTGGTCTCGGACTCCTGACCTCAGGTGATCCACCCACCTCGGCCTCCCAAAGTGCTGGGATTACAGGCGTGAGCCACTGCTCCTGACCCTTAGTTTGTGTTTTAAGAGACAAGCTTTCACTCTGATACCCAGGCTGGAGTGCAGTGGTACAGTCACAGCTCACTACAACCTCAACCTCTTGGGCTCAGGTGATCCTCCTGCCTCAGCCTCCTGAATAGCTGAACCTACAAGGCATCCACCACTGTGCCTGGCTAATTTCTTAACTCTTTGTAGAAACAGGGTCTCACTATGTTGCTCAGGCTGGTCTTGCACTCCTAGTGCCACATGATTGTGCCACATCAGCCTCCTTAACCGTTGGGATTATAGGCATGAACCATTTTGTCTAGCCTAGTATCCATCTCTTGTTAACATTTTCTTTGAAAAAAAACAAAACAAAAAACTTTGGCCTTTCTGTCTTTCAACAGCATCCCTCCCACCCTCTCTCCTTCCCTCCCTCCCTCCCTCTCTCTCTTTCTCTCTTTTTTTCTTTCCCTTTCTGGAAGCTCAGAGGCTCATCCAGCATCTCTTCTTTGAGCTCTTATGTCGCTGTGTTTGTCCCCTGCCCTACCGTGTTTTTCCTAGAGTGAGTATGTTTGTTTCTGTGTCTTTTCTCCCAAACTGGGTAACTAAATAAATAAATCCTCCAGGGCAAGACTGATTTATCCAATAGTACATCTTTGTTATCCCCACAGCACATCCTGGGTAGACTGGATACAACTATAAATATCAGGTCACAAGTAAGGGGGAAGTCTCAATTCTAATTAATATCAAAATCCTATCTCCGTCTGTGTCCAAGCCGTTTTGGAGTCACAAAGATCTGGTTGAGATTCTGGTTGAGATCTGGTTGAGATTCTGCCTATTAGATGTGTGTCCTTGAATGAGTTACCTAATGACATGGTGTAAAATATGAGATGTCATCATCTGTTGGAATCTTCCCTCTCTGAAATACACGATTTGATGTTTAGCACTCCACTCCCATCCACCAAGGATTACATACTGCACTTTTTTTTTTTTTTTTTTGAAATGGAGTTTCTCTGTTGTTACCCAGACTGGAGTGCAATGGCATGATCTCAGCTCACCACAACCTCTGCCTCCTGGGTTCAAGCAATTCTCCTGCCTCAGCCTCCTGAGTAGCTGGGACTACAGGCACGCGCCACCATGCCCAGCTAATTTTTGTATTTTTAGTAGAGACAGTGTTTCACCTTGTTGACCACGATGGTCTCGATCTCTTGACCTCGTGATCCACCCGCCTCAGCCTCCCAAAGTGCTAGGATTATAGGCGTGAGCCACTGCACCCGGCCTACATACTACACTTAAGAATCTTTTATCCAGCTCTCTTTCCTGAAAGACTCAATAGTAGGAAAGCACCCATGGGTTATTGTGGATACCTTGTGGAAGAAATAAGCTCTGTGACTTGTAGAACGCCTTGTCCTGCCCAGAATCAGAGGTGTGTGTTTTCTTGCCCCTGCATGTCTGTCTTTGTCCAGCCCTAGAACATAGATAAAGCTAGTGTTCTTGGTTTCTAGCAGTTAAGCAATCTTTAGTGTTTCTGCTTGGCAGAGTTCTGCAAATTTTCATTCTGGGTTTAGAGTTGACCCCCTGGCATTCACCATAATAGTTACTTCAGGATCTTTTGTTAATGCCCAGCCTCACACCCATGACATGAAGACGTCTCAGTTTAACTTTTATTGTGACATTCTTGTTGGTTTGAGGTTTGAGTTAGTATTCTTCTCTCCTCTCTTGAGTCAGAACCCTAAGGCATTTAAATGGGCGTGTGTCCAAACTGGGGAAAGATAAGAAAGGTCTCTTATCTTAGACATGTCTGCCCAGCAGCCTCTGCTCAAAGCTCCTGGAAATAAAATGGCCTTAACCCTGGAGATGACTACCCTAGAAGCCTGGCAGTTACTGTCCTGTTCTGACAAACCCTCTTTCTTCAGATCCCTTGATTGTGTAATAAGATCCCCCTAGACCTTCAGCCCTAGTCACCACTGCCTCAGTTGACCAGATGCCATGGGTGTGGGAGCAGCTCACCAGGTTCCTAAGAGCCATGGCATAGGAAGGTCTCCAGCCTGTTCCTTGTGTGTGGATCTGTTGTGCATTGGGAACAGATGGGAACGTTAGGGCTTTCCCAGTCATTGACATCATAGAACCTTGCTCTCCTAAGTGGGTTAGAGGAGAGCCCTAGGAGCCTAGGACCCTGACTTTACACTCCTGAACAGCACCGTCAGATCCAATGTGCATGGTAGTCTCTCTCTCTCTTTTTTTTTTTTTTTGAGATGGAGTCTTGCTCTGTCGCCCAGGCTGGAGTGCGGTGGTGCAATCTCAGCTCACTGCAACCTCCGCCTCCTGCGTTCAAGCAATTCTCCTGCCTCAGCCTTCTGAGAGTAGCTGGGACTACAAGTATGTACCACCATTCCCAGCTAATTTTTGTATTTTTAATAGAGACTGGGTTTCACCATGTTGGCCAGTATAGTCTTGATCTCTTAACCTTATGATCCGCCTACCTCAGCCTCCCAAAGTGCTGGGATTACAGGCATGAGCCACCATGGGCAGCCGCATGGCAATCTCTTAAACAGGGTTCCAGAGCACTGACCAGGGACCTCCCTGTCTGTTTAACATTCCCCTGACCCTCAGTTCTGGTTTTTGCTGTTTATTTTTTCCTTGTTTGTAACTTCTGATACTCTAATATCTGATGCTGTGTGATCATAAAGGAAAGAGCCTGTGGAGCCAGAGTCTCCACTCAAATCCTTGTGCTATCTCACAGCTGGCTGTGTCACCTTGGCAAGTTACATAAGCCCCACATGCTTCCATTTTTGCAACTGAGTAATAGTGATGGTAGTGGCCACATCGTAGGGTTGTTGTGGCTTTGAGATGTTTGTTAGATAGAGTTCCTAGCATGGAGTTTGGCTCATGGTTAGGGCTGAACAAATCATTATCTCTCCCCTACCCCATCCCAGAATTGAAAGATTATAAATTTATAAACTGCCTACAAAAATGTTGCCAAAAGATACTTAAACAAATTTACTACAGTAAAAGAATGAATTCAGCTAGCTGTGAGCATATATGTTGTTGCAGTGTGTCTTAAATTAATCCAGTAGGGCAAGATCCAGTGGTTCGTGTCTGTGATGACAGCATTTGAGGATGCTGAGGTAGTTGGATTGCTTGAGGCCAGGAATTCGAGATCAACTTGGGCAACATAGCGAGACTCCCTATTTAAAATAAAATTTTAGGGAGGCGCGGTGGCTCAGTTCTGTTTCCCTGGTTCATAAAGAAGCAACATAGGAAGTCCTCATCTATGTAACAAAAACAATTTTTTTTAATAAAAAATTTAAAAGTTAATCTGAGGCCAGGAACAGTGGCTCACGCCTGTAATCCCAGCACTTTGGGAGGTGGAGGCAGGTGGACCACTTGAAGTCAGAAGTTTGAGACCAACCTGGCCCACATGGTGAAACCCTGTCTCTACTAAAAATACAAAAATTAGCCCGGTGTGATGGCGCACGCCTGTAGTTCCAGCTGCTTGGGAGGCTGAGGCAGGGGGATCGCTTGAACCTGGGAGGCAGAGGTTGCAGTGAGCCAAGATTGCACCACCATACTCCAGCTTGGGTGACAAAGCAAGACTCTGTCTCAAAAAAAAAAGTTAATCTGAATCCAAAGGGTAATATTTTCAGCAGTATTGTCTCTGGGGGTTCTCTGAACTGCAGAGGAGGAGACTGCCTTAATGGAAGGATATCTCAGATGCTGCTTGAGGTCATAAATAGTTGTTAACTTGCAATTTTTTTGGGGAGGGGACGGAGTCTTGCTCTGTCACCTGGGCTGGAGTTCAGTGGCATGATCTCAGCTCACTGCAGCCTCCACCTCCAAGGTTCGAATGATTCTTCTGCCTCAGCCTCCCAAGTATCTGGGACTATAGGCATGTGTCACCATGCCCAGCTAATTTTTCTATTTTTAGTAGAGATGGGGTTTCGCTGTGTTGGCCAGGATGGTCTTGATCTCCTGACCACCCGCCTCGGCCTCCCAAAGTGCTGGGATTACAGGCGTAAGCCAACACCCGGCCCTTTTTTTTGTTTTTTGAGACAGAGTCTTGCTGTGTTGCTCGGGCTAGAGTGCAGTGGTGCAATCTTGGCTTACTGTAACCTCTCCCTCCTGGGCTCAAGTGCTCCTCCCACCTCCGCCTCCTGAGGGCTGAGACAACAGGCACGTGCCACGACACCCAAATTTTTGTATTTTTTGTAGAAATAGGTTTTGCCATGTTGGTCAAGCTGGTTTTGAACTCCTGGGCTCAAGCAGTCTGCCTGTCTCAGCCTCCTAAAATATTAGGATTACAGGCATGAGCCACTGTGCCTGGCCAACCTGCAACATTTTGACAACATAATCCTGCTTAATTCTAATTTAATGTGACTTCTTTTTTTAAAAAAAAATTAGTGAATTTAGCATTGAATTTAATTCTGCACTGGTATGCGAATGACTAAAGTCATTTGAAGAATGATTTACCCTCCCTTTGGCTCATGATGTTTGAGCTTGGATCACGTACATAGAAGAACCCATTTTCTTTGAGGCTAGCAGAAATTGTTAATGATCATCTTGCTTTTCAAGTGGCAAAGCTGACTACTTTGTCCCTAGGTTGTAGTAATATTTGTATAACATGGCAGAAAGTGAACTCACTTTCCTGGGAATGCCTGATTTTTCCAGCTCAACCTCTTTTTCTCCTAACCCCTCAGATCTCAGTGCTTAGTGAATGTTAGTGAGTGGCTGTAGGCAAGAAGTTGATTAGTAAGAAAGAAGCTGTTGTCAGCAGTCACTTTTTTGGAATAGATGATACTGTACTAGGTATAATGCCTTGGGTTAAATGCTGCCTTGCACACAGGAATTTATAATCTGTGAGAAGTTAAAAATAGACAAATGCTGATTAGAAACACTGTCTTGAGTAGCATCATAAAAGGATGATTCATTAGGAAATCAGGAAGTCTATAATGTAATTTGGATCATTTAGGTTGTATTTTTACAACTTTTTTTTTGGATTTCTAGTAATTTTGTTGCAATTCCACTTCTGAGATCATCACCGATGAATATTATTTAGAATTATGGGGCCAAGCTCAGTGGCTCATGCCTGTAATCTCAACACTTTGAAAGGCTGAGGCACGAGGATCACTTGAGGACAAGAGTTCAAGCCTGGGCAATATAGTGAGACCCTGTCTCTACAAAAAATAAAAATAGCTGAGCGTGGTGACATATGCCTATAGTCTCAGCTTCTTGGGAGGGTGAGGCAGGAGGATCACTTCAGCCTAGGGTGACAGCAAAACCTTCTCTGTTAAAAAAAAAAAAAGAAAAAAAGGGGGGGAAAAAGAAATATGAAATACTTCATGGCCCATTAGAGCAAGGTTTCTTGTATGTTTTGGTCACAGTGGCATCCCCAGTGCCTAAAACAATGCCTGGCACACTGTAGGCATTCAGTGAGTGTGGAATGAGTGAATGAATGGGTACACATGCCATGGCACTCTTTCTGGAGAATTGCAGGTGCCAGTCTGGTCTTGTGAGATCAGTGCAGACTACACTGCCCGTGAGGGGATGAGGAGGCTCTTTCCTCTGGTTTGATTGCCGAAGTTAATGCTGCATGTATTTTGTGGTTCTCAGTAGTTGCCAGGGAACCGAGGAAGTGAAAGGATGGAGGGGTTAAAAACAGCCTCATTGCTCTTCCCTGGGCAGCTGTGCCTTGATCCAACCTTGTCTGTCTGGCATTTTGACCTGGTTGTTGGCAGCAAGGCCTGGGATAGACTGACTGTGTCTTGGTGTCTTGAGAATACGTATGTGCTGAAGATTGGCTTCCCAATCCCCAAACACCTGCAGAAGCAGGAGCCACTTTGTTTACACATCAGCCACCTTTTCCTCTAGTAATGAGGTTGTGATCTATTCTTTTTGTGAGTCTCGAGGAAATGGCTCAGCCAGCTTGGAACATTTATTTTCTTGTCAGGAAAGTCGATGTGACCTTGACCATCAGTGGGGACCTGCAGTAAACATGTTGTGTGTCTGGCTGGATTCTAATGATCAAACAGTACTTTTGGCACCTCGCTGTGCTGTACATGTCATGTGCTGCTAATTTATTGTCCTAGGTGGGGGTTATAGATACTAATTTGCAAGAATCATTTCTGACTTAAATGGGCCATGCCCAGCACAGTGCCACTACCATGGAAGCCTTGGATAAGTACCATGAAAGAAAATCGTTGCAGAAAATGAAAGGAAAGATGAAATATACTTGCTTTGAGTCCTGGACAGTATAATTAATTTGTAGCTGAGGAAGTTATTGAAAAGTAACTTTGTATAATCTAGCACTTTAGGAGGCTGAAGTGGGCAGATCACTTGAGCCCAGGAGTTCAAGACCAGCTTGGGCAACATGGCGAAACCCTGTCTCCACACAAAAAAACAAAAATTAGCTGCATGTGGTGGCACATGCCTATGGTTCGAGCTCCTTGGGAGACTGAGGTAGGAGGAACATTTGAGCCCAGAAGGCAGAGGTTGCAGTGAGCCAAGATCATCACGCCACTGTACTTCAGCCTGGGTGACAGAGTAAGACCATGTCTCAAAAAAAAAAAGGGAAAGTAACTTTGGATTTATAAAGCTCCTCTGAAGATTGTTCTCGAGTCATTTCTGGAAATCCAAATCCAAATGGGACCTTTTGTCCTGTGTGAGTGTTGTCTTTGGTAGAGGATTCAGGCCCAGGGAGAGCTGCTGTGACCTGCTGTTTCAGGAAGGGTAGCCAGAAGGGATTTGGCTTACGCCACTGACTAGGAAAAGTCAGAGCAGGACACCATCCCCACGGCTCTTGCTTCTTGTGCAAAGCTTGCTGTTGGAGAACTCTTTTCTCCTTGAGCTGAACTTAGTGAAGAAAGCAGGACAAACCTAAGGCGGTGAACTTTTCTGAACCAAGAGTTGGTTTAAATATAGATGATCTGCCTCTCTGGCAACTTGGAGGCTGCGGGGGGACTTGTTGTACCTTTTATAAGGCAAGTGAGGAAAGATGTTGGCACCTGTACTTGCGCAGTTTGTTTATGAAATATAAACTCTCCTGTGGAAGTGAGGGGTCAAAAAGGTCAGTGTCCAAGGTAATGTGTGTCCTACCTTAGCTGGGGAAAAGGTTCCTCTCCAAGCCCTCCCTGCGAATTGCCTCATTCGCTAGAGAAAGTTGGGACAGCCAGGCTTAATGTCCTGTTATTTACTGAGCACCGACTCCGGCAGGGGTGGGGGGTGAAAAAGTTTCTGTGAAACTGACAGACACTAGACTTGATTTTCTTTCCCAGGGAGGAGAAACAATAGTCTAGGAGCTATAGAGTCCGTCCTTATTCAGAGCAGTGTAGCTCTTTTCAGCTTTAGAGACTTGATTTATGTACCCTGGAGCTGCTTAGAGCCAAGGGGCTGCAGCAGCCTCCCATCTGCAGCCCCCACTGTCTTCCCACAGTGGGCTCTGGCTCTAGGTGGGTCCAGGGCTGGGCATCGCGGGTCTGTAGCACATCCTCCTCAGTATTCCAGCACAGCTGTCTGAAGTTTTTCTGCTGCGCCTGAACTGATGTCATTTCCCCCTTGGCAGACAGCTTCGGCTTAGCTGTGTCTGAGATATGTCACGAGAAGGTGGGGGTGGGCCGGAGTCAGGCGGGGGGAGTAGCAAGGAGAGCAGGAGGCAGGGTGCCTGCTTGGTCCCAGGGCTCTGTTTACTTTGTCTGCTTTGCTAAGGAAGGCCGGTGAACCAGGACTGCCGCGCACACAGGCCCACCAGGGGCAATGCTCATTCCAAGACCTTACTTTTAAGAGCCCTTTGTTCCAACGTTAGTGTGGACGATGCTCTTGCAGGATGCCTTTCCTTTTGGGTCTTAGACAGGTAACTGGTTCTGCACGGATTGGGATCGGAAGGGAAGAAGGGGTGGGACCTTGTTTATTGTACTACTGCTTTGGGTGGAGGGAATATTTTAGCAAATGCCTCTCGGTTATACCAGGCCAGCTCCCACACAGAACTTTGCAGTCTCTCTTCTCGTTTGCTAGTTGCTCCTTACTTTCAGAGCCACCGTGTTCTTAACCCTCTACATCCCTGAGGTTTCTCTAGGGCTGTCCAGTTCTGATTTGCCGTTAAGCACTGTAAAACTGCTTTGGAAACTTCACGGAGGAGCAGCAGGAGAGTGGGGCTGGGGCAGGGGAGAGGCCGAATGCCATGCTTCCTGCAAACCCCTTTTATTCCTTCTCCATTTTGATTTGGCTAGTCAGGGGAGGTTTCCTCATAGCCCTCTGGTTCTGAAGGAACTCTGAGTTGGGGGTGGGGTGAGAGCTCCGTACTTCTTTTAAAGGAAAGGCTTTCTTCCTTTCAAGCATGTGGCTGGGGCTGGTGCGGCTCAGGGACATCCCAGATACCTCAGGGGAAGGGGTGTGGAGTTGACCCCATTCTGGCCTTACTGACCGATTTTTCAAGGCAAACAGACCCCTGTGGCAGAGACTTGATTGCTTGGTGAGCCGTCCTTTGAAGTGGGGGCACTGCATTCATTCTGGCTGGTAAAGCAGTGAGGAAGGAGAGAACAGTAGCAAGCCAACTGCTGTCTGCTGAGAACACGGCTGTTGCCAACTATGTGTTCCAGGGCTTCTGGGAGTTGGACACCCCCACCCCCTCTGCGTCTGAGAGGCATGTCTGTATCGGAATGTGTAACTGTAACCAGCAGCTGCTGGCTGTAAGGGGTGGGGACAGAGCACACACCCTCTGCTGCCTGTTCCTGGGTAAGGAAAACCATAGATGAGTTCATGGCAGAAGCCCTAGAGGGGAGCTGCTAGGGACCACGGGTTGCCGTCACTCTGAGAAAAGTGCTAGGTGGGCAACTTTCCCTTGAGTTGCCTACAGTTCTGTTCAAAGGAAGCTCCTTTGAAAAGCCCCAAACATTGCATTACAGCTCTTGTTATCTTCAGAGTTTGTGTTGATGCAGCTGATGGGCAGAGTGGTTTCCACTTGGAGCACCCCTTCTGTCCCCAAAAGAAAGGCTGTCCTTTTTTTTTTTTTGAGATGGAGTCATACTCTGTTTCCCAGACTGGAGTGCGGTGCCATTATCTCAGCTCACTGCAACTTGCGCCTACTGGGTTCAAGCGATTCTCCTGCCTCAGCCTCCCAAGTAGCTGGGATTACAGGCATGTGCCACTATGCCCGGCTAAGTTTTATGTTTTTAGTAGAGACGGAGTTTCACCATGTTGGCCTGACTGGTTTCGAACTCCTTACTTCAGGTGATCTGGCTGCCTTGACCTCCCAAAGTGCTAGGATTACAGGTGTGAGCCACTGCACCTGGTCAGAAAGGCTGTCCTTTTAACCTGTGGGCAGAGTGAGTCCTGGAGAGGATTTTGAGCAGTGTTGGAAATAGGAGGAAGCTGGATGAAGGGTCTCATGCTGTGTCAGCAGGCTGGGAGGGTGAAAACTGCCTAACAGAGAAGAAAGAGTGGGCTGGGAGCTGGAGAGACCTGCATTCACATCCCAGCCTCCCTGGGGTCTTGGGCAGGATCTCAGCCACTCTGAACCTCATCTCTGAGGTTGCACAGAGACTCCACCAAAGAATGTATGTGAAACGTTCACACCTTGGCTGGTAGAGAGTAGACGTAACTCTTAACTTTGATCTGCTCATTCCTAAAGGATGCAACACTGTAGGGTTACAGGAAGCGAGAAGTGAAGGGACTGATGCCTTGACGGGAGCCGGGTATGCCAGGCAGGTGCCCACAGCCAGGAGAGTGAGCTCTTGATCTGTGGTCAGTGACTGCCATTGTGCAGTGACATAGAGCTGGAAGGCCACCTCTTACTCTACCAAGATTATATATATATATATTTTTTTTTTTAGATGGAGTTTTGCTCTTGTTACCCAGGCTGGAGTGCAATGGTGCAATCTCAGCTCACCACAACCTCTGCCTCCAGGTTCAAGCAATTCTCCTGCCTCAGCCTCCCGAGTAGCTGGGATTACAGTCACCCGCCACCATGCCCGGCTAATTTTTTGTATTTTTAGTAGAGGCAGGGTTTCTCCATGTTCATCAGGCTGGTCTCGGACTCCTGACCTCAGGTGATCTGCCCACTTTGGCCTCCCAAAATGCTGGGATTACAGACAAGATCCACTGCACCCAGCAAGATACTGTTAATCTTATGAACTGAGGTGGCAAGAGGTCGAGGGCCTGTGTCCAGTTACTTGGACATGTAGTGAGAGAATGAAGCAGTGGGTAGCATTAAATTAAACTTCAAGGGGAGTGAAGGGTTGAGATGGTGGTTGTGGGGAACATCTGAGAGGATCAACAGCAGGTGAACCTTTAGCTCTTGTGTCTGAACAGGTGCCTGGGGGAAGGCAGAATTTAGAAGCCTTCTGAAGGCCCTTCCTCCTCTAAGCTTCTATGACTCAAACTCTTGCCTGTACAATCTTGGGGTAGTTTTGGTCATATAATTCTGTATATTTCTAGTATTTTGGTTCAGACAGTGTAACTACATTCTTTATTGGAGCCATGTAGAAGCCAGCCTTCTGAGGATCCCTCGGTGTAATTCTGTTTAAGAAAAAATGACACAAAAAGCTCACATGCACGCACACACACATAAAATTGATCTTTATCATACATATGTATATACTTTGATTTATTTCTTTCCCCTTAATCCAGATGATAACCCTGTGTCTTATGGGGTAGTGTTATTCTGTTTGTACAGAGGTGCATGCTAAGGTTTAGAGAAGTTAAGCCATTTGCACAGCGTTGTTCATTGTCTAAAGAAAGGGTAATTGATTTTTTTTTTAACTTGAGTCCTTCCCAAATCCTGGATTTTTCTCACTACCTAGACTGTGTGGCTTGATGTCTGAGAGTAGAATATGATTAAGGCATTGTTCTCCTTGGGGCATGTTTCTTTCTAGCCTGCCCAGGTGGGAGACAACATGCTACTTAGCTCTTCATATGCTCACTTGCATTTTACTCTGTGGAAGACTTTGACCACTTAATGAATGTGGCCTGGTATAAAGGACACAAATATACGCAATCCTTACCTCCAGGGGGCTTATGCACCTAAAGGAATAGTTCTCAAAACCATAAAAATCACCTGGAAGTGGGGCTTATTAAAATGCAGATTTTGGCTGGACACGTGGCTCACGTCTGTAATCCCAGCACTTTGGGAGATCCAGGTGGGCAGATCACCTGAGGTCAGGAGTCCGAGACCAGCCTGGCCAACATAGTAAAACCCCAACTCTATTAAAAATACAAAAAATTAGCTGGGCATGGTGGCGGGTGACTGTAATCCCAGCTATTTGGGAGGCTGAGGCAGGAGAATTGCTTAAACCCAGGAGGTGGAGGTTGCAGTGAGCCAAGATCGTGCCATCAAGACTCTGTCTGAAAGAAAAAAAAGTAGACTATTTAGGTCTGGGGCCAGGGCCCAGGAATATGCATTTCTGTGAAGTTCCCCAGGTGTTTCTGACCCAGGTTGTCTCTGGCCGCACTTTGAGAGACTGTCCTCTAGAGTTTGGCGGCGTGGAAATAATTACAAGCCAGCGTGCTGAGACTACAACAGAGGAACGCCCAGGAACTGGGAGAGCAGAGCATGGGGCAGGTACCTGAATCAGGCTAGGGGAGGTTTTCCTGAGAAGCTGATATCTGATCTGACTCTTGAAGGATGAGTAGGATAGTTTACCAGACATATGAGCTGGGGAAGAGCATTCCGGACAGATCAGGTTGGGAGAGTTGTTTTTGTTTTCTCCTGCAGATGACAAGGGAAACTGTCATTCATCTGTTGAGTCTTGGTATTGAATTTGCCTGAGGCAAGACAAGGACCTTAGCTGACCAGGTATGGGAGTCTTTTATGGATACCGAGAAGGAGGAAGACCTCAGGGCCTTTCCGTTTAATAAGGAGCATGGCATGATTTCAGTGTCTGTAAAGGGCAGACAAACTGTAGGATATATTAGTTCTTTCATACAAGGGACGGTTGGACGGATCACAGAAGCTACAATATTGACTAAAAAATGCTCTTTTTGTGCTCAGATGAACCAAAGCTCAGAAGATAGTCACCTGCTAAACTTTTTGGGTAAGGCACTATATACCAAATTTAAGATAAAATACACAATTAAGCATGCTATCCCTTTATTATCTGACAAGATCAGAAAATAGGTTTTCTGGTTAAAAGAGATTCTATTATGCGTACCTAACAAAGGGATTACTGATTTTCAGAGAACAGTATTGCAACAGAATGTTCTTAGTCATGATTTGAATGCATTCTATTTCGTGTTCATCCAGAAGGTATTGATTGGGTAATGCTGAAGGATTCTTAGGAGCAACACTCAGCATCTGAAAAGTACTGTGCACCTATTCTACCCAAAGCATGTTGTGAATACAAAGGGTATAAACTCCATCCCTGCCCTTAAGGGGTTTACAGTCAGGTAGGGAAAGAAGAATAAGTACACAGGTAATGACATTCTGCAGGTGGTGGCAAATGACATTAGAAAAGAACAGAATGCTGCAGTTCAGAGGTATGAAAAGACAACCCTTGTGCAGGTGGCCCTTCCCACATTCCAGTACTATCAGTTGTTGCACTGCAGGTGTTAGGTGTGTAGAAGGTAAGTTCTAGTTGTTGATGGAATACAGACTAGATCCACTAAGACAGTAATTTTACATCTGGCACCTTGGAATATTGCCTTTCTCAGTGGGAGAGACCCATTGTCCACACCGATGAGATGGGATAATCCTTGATACTGGAAATGAATGATACCCATCAAAACCATCTTAGAGTCCCTTGCCCATGTTGGAGTTTGTCATGGAAAGAGGTGCAGGGGGCAACTCCTGGCCCAAGGGGCTGTTTGTATTTTTGAAAGGGAGAACTGGTCCCTGGGCTGATGCCGAATGTGACAAGG